GGCAATTTTACGGACTCTATTACGGTGCCTGATCATGTATTTAATATGTTGAGGAATGTTAAAGTAGTTGCTGGGTTTTCTATTTTTGATAGTAGAGCTGTTATCTAAAGCCTCCTTGATTTGATTTGATTTGATACGTAAGGTTTCGAATACTTTCCTCCAGTTCCATTAAGGTTTCAGGTTGGTTCAACCCTCCTCCAACATCTACTAGATTCTTAAAGGCGGTCCAGTCAGTTGTAATAAACGTTGGAGTCGTAATGTTAATGAGGCAGTTCTCTAAAATAAATAATACTGGTTTATGGTCCGAGTCCAGCTTGTCTAAGACTTCAATAAGCACAGTAAAGTCTAGGTTATTAGATATGCCTAGATCTATAATGTGGCCGACTCCTTTACCATAGTGTGTTGGCGTGTTAGGCACGTGTATCTGCAGTAAGTGGTCAATGGCGAATTTGGCGATCCCCTACCTGCACTATTTGTGTTACTGTCACCCCAGTTTCTGTGATACGCATTCAAGTCACCGGCCAGGAAAGATCTCCTAGGTCTCCTAGGTAGGCTTGTATATTCGATGGCCTATAGACTGAGGTAAAGTTTATGTTACCTACCAGACTATCCAACACCACTGTAGTTGCTTCAAGCGCGAGCAGGTTTTTAGATATTGTGGGAAGTTTGATAGATTTTTTGATAAGAGCTTTTCCCCCACCTCTTCTCGTTACTCTGTCTGATCTATAGATGTTATAGTTGGGAATTTTCAGTTGCAGAGACGGTTTCAGGAAAGTTTCCTGTATCAACATGATATCTATATTCATTTTATTTAGTAATTGGATGACTTCATATTTCTTGTTAATAATAGAGTTTGCATTCCAGGTCACAACTTTAAATCTACCTTTTTCTTCAAGGTCCTCTTTGATGTCTTTCGGGCTCTGCCCGTCTAGACCTCTTATCACAATATTAAGGTTCTTCTCTTCTGGAAGGAAGTGGGTATGGTATGGCTCTTTAATCTCATTCAAGAACCTAGTTGTATTACGGTGGTCATCAATAGTAGCTGGAGCTATCTGAATGCTCAGGCGCACCTTCTTCGCCTCCCTGAACTTTTGGTTTCTTAAATGAAATTGCATATTACCTACCCCTGGATTTGAACGGCTTTAAATTGTTGTTCCACCTCTGAGCAGTGTAATTTTAAATCTTAAACTGCTGTTGCAGAGTAAATGATATGCAAGAGCTCATTAAATTTTTTAACTTCAATGAGTTCCGCTACCATCATTTTAAATTCATCCAAAAATACAGAATTTAATTGGGGGGTGGATATGTCCAGAGGTTTTGGTAACAATATAATAAAATTAGACATTGTTTGAGATTTGGCACAACAATTTGGCAGTATGGCATCACTGATCTAGTGATTTCGACAGTGGCATTTTAACATCTGGCAAGCAATAATTTTTGGTTTCGTTTTAGCTTCTTCTTCTTTCTCTTCCTTACTTGGATACTGGCAAGGTATGCGCGCTTTTATTAGCTTCGTGAAATTACTTGTAATTTTTGTAAATTAAATGAACTTACAATTTTTGCGTGTGTGAAATTAATTGTATTTGCTTTTTCATACATTTCTTGTTGCCGAAACCCAGGACTTTCGGTTGTTTAATTGCATAATAATAAGTTGGCGTCTTCCGACGAGAAAATGGCCGCCTCATGGCTTGGCAATTGAATTAGAATGGTTGGCGATACCCAAGTTTGATGATACGATGTGTAACTGGCTGGCATTTAAGGATACTTTCGACACATTGGTGCAATCGCAAGAGGGTCCAGAGTCATATAAGCTTGGCAAGCTACGAGAGGCAGCCCATAGGGACACAGTGGCATTAATCGGAGGCATGTACAGTGGCGGATACAATGAGGTATGCGCAGCACTCAAGTCTCAGTATGACAATCCGAAGCAGCTGGCAGAAATACACGTGGCTAGGCTAATTGGCTTCAACACACAAAAAGCTGAGTCAACATCTGCGTTGCTCTCGGTGGTTCATACAGTGAGGACAAATGAGGACAAACCTAATAGCAACTACACCAGGCCTTTGCCAGTTTTGCAGTGACGCAGCGCACCAAATAGGCAACTGCACCAGGCTAGTGGCTTGCCCCCAGAGGAGCGCTTTACATTGCTCAAAGGCTCGAATCTTTGCTTCAATTGCTTGAAAACTGGACATTCCACTAAGGCGTGTGGGTTAACTAATTAACGCATATGTAATGGCAGGCATCACACTCTACTATGCCGAAGTTCACCAGTGCAAATACCCCCTTTGCAAAGTCCAAACAGCAGGCACAAACTACACCTGAGGCACCAGCGAAACCAAACCAAGGTGGCATCCCACCACGTATGCATCAATGACTACACCATCCAATCCAGACATTCGCTACTACAGGCAATCGGGTTATACTTAGCAACAGCACAAATACGCATCTTAAATGTCTTTGGCGATATCGACTCGTGTCGAGTTCTATGCGATCCAAGCTCTCAGCTAAGGCTAATCACTATGCGATATTTCAATCAATTAGCTCTGCTGAAGCAGAAAAGTGCATAACAAATACAAGGCGTGGGCAGTGGTAATCGCTCATATACTGGTGGATGTTGAATTCTTCGTTATCAACAAAATCATCTCAGCAATCCCTGTCGCTCCGATAATGGAAAACTGTTGGCAGCATTTATGCAATACCTTTGACAGATCCGAAGTTTGGCGAGACAGATGCCATAGATGCATTGCTTGGCTCTGACGTGTGGGGCCAATTGTTGGCAGATGGCATAGTTCGTGACGAACTTAATGATCCTGTGACACAAAATACGCAATTAGAACTACGAGCTAAAACTGCTTTGCACAGCATCCTGAATAATTTCTACGTAGATGACTATCTTAAGAGTATACCTTCTATTGGCATGGCAATTCAACTGACAATCGATGTCTCATATATGTTGGCAGAAGGACAGTTCTATCTCAGGAAATGAAAATCAAATAGCACTGAAGTCTTGGCACACCTTCTTGGAGATACTGATCCACGACAGCTTAATCCACATTTGGCAGAAACCACTGTTATTGGCTTGCATTAGAACTCTTCTATCAGGTCAGCTCTTATGACATACAGTACCCCACTAAAAGGTAAGTGCTTAGCGATGTCAAGATATTATATGATCCAATTGGCATGTTAGCACCAGTCATCTTCACGGCTAAGCTTTTCATACAAAAACTCTGGCAGGCAAAATTGGGATGGGACGACCCAATACCACTTGAACTGTTGCAAGAATGGCTTATATACCAAAGGCAGCTGTCGCAACTGGAGGCAGTGGGAATACCGCATTGGATAGGCATACAACCTAGAGATCAAATACAACTTCATAGCTTCTGCGATGCTAGTGTCAAGACGATGGCTGCAGTACTCTATTTGGCAACAAACAACGATGGCAATATCACTAGTCACATCATCGCATCAAAAACTAAAGTGGCACCATTACTTTCGGTAATAGTACCCCGATTGGAACTTTACGCTGCGCAATTGTTGGCTACCCTTTTACACGAAACAAGGCAGGCTTTGCATTTGGAGTACGTGCCATACACTCTATACTCCGACTCAAATATTGCACTATGTTGGCTACGCAAAAACTTATCACAATTAAAGCAGTACGTTGCTAATCGCGTTGGCTGCATTCAATTGATGACAGATATCAGGCATTAGCATCACATTCCTACCAGACTCAACCCCCCTTTAGCGTTGCCTAAAGGGGATATGTCGTCCAATCCAATCATTTTTCCTAAGGACAACATATTGGCTAGGCTTTTAAAATAGCAGGTGCATCAAGACACACTTCATGGCGGTATAGAGCTAATGCTGCATACTATTCGACGCAAACATTGATTTCTACGCATTTTGGTCAAGCAATGCATAACTCATTCGCGATTTGCAGGCGACATAAACACATAATGCTAAAATAACGTATTACCAAAGGCTCAAGTCACCCCATCTCCACCATTTGCAAGATCTGGCTTAGACTATTGCGGTCCATTCAACATACAAATTGGCTTCATGGCTGTACGAACTGTACGGTAGGCTTACGTGGCAATCTTTGTGTGCATGAAAAGAAAAAGAAACACTTACTACGCATTGTTGGCACTCATTCGACTTACTATGATCAGCTACATACTCTACTTGTGCACGTCGAGGCTTGCTTGAACTCACGTCCACTCATACCATTGCATGACACTTGTGATGACAAGATGGTTCTCCTAATTTCCTAATTGGCAGATCTCTATTGGCAGTGCCAGATGAACCTATTGGCAAGGTACGTAGCAACAAATTATCATACTGGCGACAATTAAGGCAAATGCAACAGCATTTTTGGTGACAATGGCATGATGAATATCTTTCAACTTTGCAACCACATTCCAAATGGCATTAGAATGGTGAAAACATTAACATACGCGATGTCGTGGTTATCCGGCAAAAGAATCTACCAGCAACAGATTGGCGGCTAGGCAAGGTGATCAAACTTCACCCAGGCGAAGATAGTTTGGTACGAATGGTCACGATCAAGCATTCAGTTGGCGAATGCATGCGACCTATCCAGAAGATATGCCCACTTGTGGAGCATCCTGAACGTATCCGTCCTGTCGGGCAGGATGTTTGAGATTTGGCACAACAACCAGGCAGTATGGCATCACTGATCTAGTGATTTTAACATCTGACTAGCAATAATTTTGGTTTCGTTTTTGCTTTTTCTTTTTTCTCTTCTTTACTTGAATACTGGCAAGCTATGCGCGCTTTTACTGTCTACGTGAAATTACTTATATTATTCTAGTCTAATTTTTGTAAATTAAATAAACATACAATTTTTGAGTGTGTGAAATTAATTGTATTTGCTTTTTCATACAAACATATTTAATAAATTTTTTTTAAAATAAAACTCGAAACCTTAAAATTGAATTTGCATTAAATAATATTTTAAACGCATGTCTATTCAAAAATAATATTGATATATTTTTAAAGCATGTTTGGAGGAAGATTGCATTGATTTCCAAGGAAACGTTGTCAATCATGGCATGTTATATGTGCCGGGACCAGGCGTTTGCAGTTTGTGTGTTTGCTATCACTCTGAACCACTGTGGTGCAAGGCTATTTATTGTGATCCGCCTTATGTTAGTGAATGAAAATATATGTACTGTAATTATATTTATTATTTTTTTTATTGTAGTTTTGTAAGAACTTTAGAGTTGGCGAAAGATGCTGTGAATTTGAATGCCTTGATCCACCTGGTAAGGACAACTTGTATCAGGTAAAATTATATATCAAATCTGTGTAAAACTTAATAAAACCTTTAAATTGATTTATCTATTGACAGGAGCGTATGCGGAAAAGAGCACAAATATTATCTGGAAATAATACAGGTTCAGTCATGTTACCTCCAATTGCTATTTCTACACTAATGATAACCGCTATTGGTAACACAATCCTTAATTTATAACTTCAGCCAAAATCTGAATATAAATTTTTTAATATGTAGTACAATAAATATGTTTATGCACTATTAAAATCAAGCAAAATTAAATCTACGATAAACAAATCTCAGATTTCAACATAAATTTTGTAATTTATATGCTACTAAAGGCTTATGCGATCAAAATAAAAAAGTACTAGTTGATATGTTATTTTTAATTTATGTTATATATTTTTTATTCAAGAATAATAGATTCAAAATTTTGTTAAAAAATTACTTTTTCTGCGTGTCTAAAATTACAAGTATACAATATTTAAAATAAAAACAACACATTATTATATTCTTAATATATATTTTTATATTAAATTATATTATATAAAATTAAATAAACAAACTAAATACTTAATATATCTATAATTAAGAGTTATCAGTTAGATAACAGTTATCAGTCTCAGTTATATATGTTTATTTGACTAAAATTTCGAAATATTGGTTGTACGCAATGGACTTTGGGAGAAAAACTTCTACAAATTTTATAAAAGTTTTTAATAAACGTCTAATCAACCGAATTAAATTTTGGTGTCTTAAATGCTTAACATATTCCGCAATTTCCAATTGCGAGAGTATCACTTTTTTTGTTTTGCGTTATTAACATTCCTAAAACAAGAGAATTCTTAACATAAAAACTGCTTATATCAATTATTTCTGCTTAAATTTTTAAATAACTCATTAACGCAGTACAATACAGTTGGCCAAAACCTGCAATTTTTTAACAAACGTAACGCTTTGGTCTCAAACCTCAATAAACGCAGATTGTGCTCGGTCGAATTTTACAGGACTAGCTATAATAAACAGTACAATCAGCAGATAAGCAATAAATAAGATACACATATATTTTCTGTGGAAGTGCTGATTTATACATACGGCAGGAATTTTGTCATTTTGAAATTATTTAAAAATTTGTTAGAATGTTGGGTAAACTATAATTTTTAAAAAATCGATGATTTATTTTTATATTTAATTGTAATGTTGTGCATTACTGTTTCGTTTTGTGCACAATGTCTTTTGGCATGCTAGACATGACCATTTATTTCTTCGTTGACATAAAACACATCTCAACTGTGATTTACATTTTTATAGATACATGACTTTTTTTATGGATGAAGGAGATTTATAATTTATGAGAATAGATCGAAAATTTTCCCTTTTAAAATTTATCTGATGAACAAATTCATCATTGTTACTGCATAGAAGATATAGTTTCGAAGTATTGTCCTACGAAAATTTAACTAATGAAGAAATTCATTATTGTTATTAGATAGAAGACATGAAAACTATCTCAACTTAAGGCTCAGTGATGGTTTTACTGTGTCGAAGTTATCATGTCATAAGTACTTTTGCTGAACCATTTTATAGCTAGAATATCATTATCCACGTATCGATAATCATATGACTATCATATTGATAGTCATATGTACCACGAACTTGGTTAGCAAAGATTTTATTTTTATTGAAGTTGCATCCTTGAGTTCGGTTATCGCACACAGTACTACTTGCATGGATTTTGAAATTTTCAATAGCAACCATTAAGGCATGAATCGTGAAATAATAGTCGACCAAAAAAAAATTCCGTAAAAGTTTCGACATTATATATGATTCAAAAGAATTTTTAGACCTCGTCTGCATTTTTGCAACAGTATACACTAAAATTGTAGCAGTATCCCGTTTCACTAGCAAACATCTATGTTTTGAACATTTTAATTTTTCGCCGTATTTGAATTTGGGGCCAAATTTTATACATTTTGTCATTTCATTGCCCAATTTCTTAATTATCTGCCAAGTGCAAATACTATTTTATTATGCGGAAGCGATCACGAGTAACTGCCCCATATATCAGAGAAATTACAAGAACTTTGCCAAGAAAACTATATATACACTCTTTCTGAAGGGAATGACAACCCGTCAAAATTAAAATTGCAATGATAATTTTTAGGTCATTGATATCAATTAAACATTTTGGATCGCCTGTTCACATATGTATGGGCCATGTTATGCAGAGTGTCTCGGGCACGGCATGAGTACAATTGTTGTTGTTTTCAATGCAAATTTTAAATTTGAGAATGAGAGAAAAACCAATATGACCGTTCAAACTCCGGCATGAGAGCCGGCGTATTTGTGCCCCGGCACTAAGGCAAAACAGTGTTGTTTAGTAATAAATTTCAAAATTTGCGCCTTTTAGGAGCAAACTACTACAATTCTAGTACGTTATGAAGAAAAGATGGCAGTAAGCAACACAGCATTTTTTTTTATAAATCGCTAATAATATAATTATTACACTTTCCGATTTTAAAGAAACGCGTAAGTACTGTTAACAATTATTATAAGATAATATAATAATATATTAACATTATTACAGCCTCTATGAGTTTTTTCATGCGAGTTATTTTTGGTGGCAAATTGAAAGTGAGCATATCTAAATTTCCTTTTAAATTTAGGCACAATCAAGAAGTAGTAAAAATACAAAATTGGCAATACTGATGTGACACTCTGCATAACATGCATTTTCGGCATAGCCCGAAAGAGCGTAATTTGCCGTGCCCGAGACACTCTGCATAACATGGCCCTATGTGATGCAAAATATCATTTGTTATAAACTGATTGAGAACAATTGGGGAGAATATGTCTCCAAAAATTTAATCACATTTTCTATATCATCTGTAAAAGTATTTCTTTCGCTTTCTATTTCATATATTGGCTTCATTTTCGATCACCGACTATTAAACTATCAATTACTAAATAGTTGACAGACAAGCAATTTAATTTCGATTGATGAATGGAGTCATCAGTATTATTTTCAAGTTCCAGCTGCAATGTTCCAGAAATTAGTTCTTGGTTATCAAAATTTTCATTATTACACCTAGATTTGGAGGAATAATTACCAAGCGTGCATTGTTATCATCACTATTCATTCATGCTTCTACAGCTTCGTCTAATCCTTTAAATAAATTTCTGTGTCAATAACCCAATATTTTAACATCAACTACAAATTTGCATGAAAATCAAATATTTAGTATGTTTCCAATTATTTAGATTACAATTAATGCCACAAAAGCAACAATAAATTTAAACTAACAGCATTATTTTCCCTTACATTTAACGTTAGTGATTTGGATTTAAAAATATATAGCAAAATTTGTTGCGAAAATATGATTTTCGATTTTTATTCAGAAAAACGTAATTTATCGGTTTGCCTCCCAAACACTATAATTAAACAGAAAACAAAATGTGAAAATAAACTTGGAATTCGATAAGAGGCAGTCAGATGTTCGAAAAAACTTTCTTATGCAATATTAAGAGATCCGTGATTTTAAATAAGTAATGTAACAGCTGGACAGCTAAAAATACTACCGATTTCTATATACTTTATAAAGTACAATATGCGTTAATGGGTTAAGATAGTATTCTCTTTGAAGTTTTTCATTAAAAATATAAATTATTATACACAAAATCTATTTGAAATTTTTTTTTCTATTTCTATTTAAATTTTAAATTTAAAAATTGTAGTAAAATTCTTGAAAATATACAAAAACTAAATTTTGCTTGAAGATAGATTTAAATAATTTCGAAACTTTAACTCTTGTATACTTGTGTATAAAACGTAAAATTGGAATACGAAATCAGCTAACAATTTTATATTTCATGCTTACAAGCGTTCAACATAATAACATCATTATTATTAAAATAGTGAAAACTTGCTATTTAACTCGGAACTATTCCAATTTATATAAATTAAGATTGAAAAATAAAGTAGCTTTTCAACTTCTATATGTAATTTTCAATTCATGACATAATTTCAGTTGTCTTTCAAAACTGAAAAAATTCATTAAAAAAAAATAGATGATTTAAAAAAAAAAATATTTAGAATTTTAAATTTCTCTAAAATAAAAACAATAAAAATTATAACTGAGCAATCTTGTGATACATTGAATAAAATTATAATTTTAGATATATATCATAACTTTAAAACGATTTTACCAATTAAAAAAGTGCAATTAGATCTAAGCCTTGGAACAAATAATATAAAAGTTTTTTTTAACAATCAAATAATATTTTTAGATTGTTCACACAAACTCATAAAATAATTTATTTAAATGTTTTTAAACCTAAAAGTTATTATAACGTCTAAAAATTGGAAAAGAATTAAATTGTATAACGATTATTTTTGAAAAAAAAGTTTCAATCTAAACATAATAGGTAAAACATATCATATGTTATTATTATATTTAAAATTAGGGGAGAAATTACATTTTATACAGTATTAAAGATGATTTATATAAATCAATTAAATTGATAATAATTTATTTGTTGTCACTTAATTATAAAGTTTATTATTTATAATGCCTATTCTTATTTTCATATACTGTCACAATAAATTATAACATTTTAAAAAGAAAATATATACCATACTTAAGTCTAAAATACTTATTCTTTTCTGTGGCCTAAAATACTTTCGGAATATTCACCCATTACTGCAATTATAGTGAAAGAGTGCTGAATTTCATGAAGCTACACAAAATAACAAAGATAGAAAACAAATACATAATCTGTTTGAAATGCAAAATCGTAGAAACATCAACATGCATTTTGCCTTTTTTAAAAAAGTGCCATTAGTAAGCATTAATGGCACCTTTCCATTATAAACCTAATATGTTTGTTCCACGAGCTACCCGTAGTAACTATGAGTAACACTATGTTACATAAGTGCATTCCACCAGCAAATTTTCGTTTAAACTTTACATGTGTTTTACTTGAATTTTAATACAAGAAACTCATGGAACAGACCTATTATTTCATATATAATCACCAATATTTTATTAATGGAACCACTAGTCCCTCAATAATAAACACAACATTTTCTACATACCTTGTGATCAAAAAAGAACTTATTCGTTCTTTTTTTGAATTCTTGCACTTATCCTATCAGCAAATTTTTTTTCTTTTCACGATGACAACACTACAATACACATTCTGTCAAAATTTAACGCATATCGTAAGATTAGTTTTTGTTTGGCGTCTATACAAAGAAGTCGAAAAATTTGCGTGTGGCGATTTTTAGCTGAATTTCATTCTAAAAAAGCGTCGTGATGAACTGGTGATAAGACATGGGTCTATGAATTTGA